ACCCTAACTAAAATGTTCAATCCCCATCCTGAAAGGCAAAGAGGATGGACATCAGAAGAAAAAGAAAATAGGAAACAACCTCGGAACCTGCTACAGAGGGCCTCTGAAAGCTAGAAGAAAACAGGAAATAACCTTGAAAACTGCCACAGAGGGCATTTGAAAGCCTCTGCAATATAGACCGTCAAAGCAGATGCTGAGCCTGATGGCCAACTGATGGGCAGAGTGAATGGAATTCTATGTAAGAAGTGGGAAATAGTAAGAGCTGGAGGGGACGGGAACTCCACAAGGAGAGCAACAGAACAAGATAATTTGAACACAGGGAACTTCCCAGAGACTCATACTCCAACCAAGGACTATTTGTGGAGATGACCTGGAATCCCTGCACAGGTGTAGCCCATGGCAGTTCAGTGTCCAAGTGGGTTACATAGTAATGGGAAGAGGGACTGCCTCTGACATAATCTGATTGGCCTGCTCGTTGATCACTTCCCCCTGAGTGGGGAGCAGCCTTACCAGGCCACAGTAGAGGACAATGCAGCCACTTTTGATGAGAACTGATAGACTAAGATCAGAAAGAAGGAGAGGAGGACCTCCCCTATCAGTGGACTTGGGGAGTGGCATGCATGCAGAAAGGGGAGGGAGGGTGGGATCGGCAGGGGAGGAGGGAGGGGCTTATGGGGGGATACAAAATGAATAAAGTGTAATTAATAAAAAAAAAGATTTAAAAAAAAACAAAGAAAAAAAACTTATTTTCTCCCTACCTTTTTTTTGTTGCATGTGTATTAGATTTCCAGACTTCAGAAAGGCTGTCAACAGACATTTTCAAGGGTAATTGCAGTGAGGTGAATGTTGTCACTCACCTGAGGCTATGCCTGACTGTGCAAGTCTGGTGGGTGTGGGCAGTATCCTAGAAGGATGCAATGGGCTTCCTGTGCTCCTGAGCATCTGGGCATCTGTAGCGGAAGCTGGTGTGGAGGGAAGCCTGGGCCAGGGTGGCCCTCCAGGTGTACTATCGTCCATGGTCTGTGACGTAGACATGGATACCACGGGAGCCCGTGTGTGTTTGCTTGTCACCCATGGTGTTCTGGTCATTTTTCCTGCAGTGTGTTGAAAGTGACAATCACTGGCATTGCTGTACTTGATCTCTTTGATCATGTACAAAGCTGCAGACATATAGAATGTTCTCAGAGAACAAGTGCAATGTGTCTGTTTAACACAGACAATTCATACATTTTACTGTGGGCTGGAATGAGTGGCAACAAGGCAAAAGAAACCTCTGGAGATGGGCTGGGGGTTAAGAGAACTTGCTGGCTTTGCAGAAGACCCAGGATCTGTTCCCAGAACTCACACAGTGGCTTACAATCACCTGTGTCTGCAGCTCCGGGGAATCAGATGCCCCCTTCTGGCTTCTGATGGCACTGCATGAATGTGATGCATATACAAACATGCAGGACACATAAAATAAAAATAAATCGGTCTTTTGAAAATAAAACTGAAAATATCTTCTCTAAATCCCCTGGCCCTCAGAAAGCTGGAGCACGCAGTTGGGTTTTTTTTGGGGGGGTGGGTTACTGTATCAAATGTAAGAGATATATTTCTAATCAAGCAATAGTCTAGGAAGGTGGAAATGTGGAGGCATTGGTGTAGCCTTGTTTACTTCACACTATGAAGCAAATTACTGAACACAGTTTAATTCGGCTGTTCACTTGTCCTTGTTTTCAGCGTTAGAGATGGGCCTTGGGGTCTTGTACATGCTTTGTGTAATTATGAGTGTGAGTGTGCTTGAACACATTACATTGCTTCTTGTATCTGGTCACAGCAACAAAGAAAGTAGCTAATATACCAAGCAAGCATTTGCCACTGAGATACATTTACTGCCATTTTTAACCTTGACATTAAACTGGAGCTAAAAATGATGATGATGATGATGATGATGATGAAGATAATGATGATGATGATGATAGGGCTGGAGAATGGCTCAGTAGTTAAGAGCACTGGTTAAGAGGTCCTGAGTTCAATTCTCAGCAACTACATGGAGTATTTTACAATTTTATATATTTTTCATGATCTAAGTTATGGTATTAACCTTTTGCAGTAAATCTAAAAGTTCTAGTTGGTGGAGTTGAATGCTATTCCTCGCCACTGTCGAGATGAACCCTTTACTTAGCCTGCCTGCCTCCTATCAGTTTTTACCTCCTTCAGGGAAGGCTTTGTCCCTTGTGCTGAATAGGATGCCCACTTTGGGCTCCTGCATGAAAGAGTTCAATGTAAGTTGGTTCATGACTATACTTTTCTTTCCTGTGTCTCCCTTTTCTTTGTGAGCTTGAGAGAGATGGGGGAAATGTAAAGAGCCATTTTCAAACTTTTCTACTGGATGGAAGCAATGATGTCTTTTTATGAGTGAGTGAATTAATCAGTCCTGCTGATCCTCATCCATTCTTGGGACAGATAATACTGACTCTTACTGAAAGAGATCATTCAGTATTATATTATTTCCAGGCAGGAAATAACAGGTCACTGTGCCTTTTGTGTTCAGTGACAATACTGTTGAAATTGCACACTATGTGGTAAGACCAATTAGGAAAATTCTTGACCAGCCACTGTTGGCATCATTTTATGCTGGTACCAGGGTGGAGTAAATTTTTTTTGGTGTAAATATCGAACTGGGTGCAAATTAACCAAACTGTGCCATGAAACGCTAACCTCACCATTTCCTATGAATTTCCAGAGAAGGTATCTACCTAATTTGTTGAAACATCTCTGACTCTGTTGCCTGCCTTTGGATCCCTTTCCCCTAGCTGGGCTGCCTTGTCTTGCCTCAATGAGAGAGGGTGTTCTTAGTCCTGGTGCAACTTGGTGTGCTAGTGTGGTTTGGTATCCCTGAGAGGGCTCTCCTTCTCTGAGAAGAAAGGGAGGAAAAAGTGTGGGGGGGGTAGTGTAAAGGTGGGACTGAAAAAAGATAAGGGAGAGGAGAGTAATCAGGTTGAAAAGTGATTAAACTAATGAATTATTGTAGAAAGTCTGATTCCAGCAATTACTATTATTATATAAGATTGTCATTGGAGAAGGCTGGGTTAAAGGTATCAGAGAGCTCTTAGTATTATTTATTGGGACTTGTTAAGACATTGCATTTCAACATAGAAATCTATTAATATGAGTTCGAGAAGTATGAATCACCAGCAATTTTCCATCTTTGATCCTTCTGAACACTGTTCAGAAGTTGTAGCATCATTTAAGGTGAGGGAAGTGTTAGGTGCCGGTATTTTATTTAATTATGTGAGAATAGAGGAAAGAGAAGGGAGACACAGCAGAGGAAAGGAAAAACTGAGAAAGCATCTTACCTGTGTTTGGCTGTGTGTGAGTGACACTACTCTGTGTGGCTATGGCCCCAAAAGGAAGCTCTGGAAACATCTCTTTGTTTTCTGTCACCTCTTTTTCTGAAGGAATACTTGTCTTTGACCAAGTGAAGGTCTTTGGAGCAGATACCCACTGTGTGCTCCAGCGTCCAGGATATGATCTTAGAAGTGACTGCTGGCTTTGGGTCTCAAGTCTTAAAGTCTGGGCTGTTCCCCTGGTAGTTGCACCTCAAAGGAAACAGTCAATGGTAGTTTTAACTTACTTGCCACTTTGGACAAATAGAACTGTTGAGTCACAGAAAAACAATTAGTTAGTAGCAATATAAAATACAGATATTATGCTTTTACTGTGAACAGTAGCAAATGTCACCAAAAGATGTTTTCTCTTGAATAAACAATGGAGCTAAATATCTAACTCCACAAAAGTTGAGTGATAAACTGCTGTGAGCAGAATGTAAAGTTGTCAGATCTAAGGGTGCCAGACTGACTGTCTCTCCTGATGACAGTCTGGGACTTGTCAGGGTTCTCTGTCACTTTGCAGCCCTCAGCTGCTCCATGACTCAGGTACTTGTCTCCGCAAAAGCAATGTGGCTTATGCTATTTGCCAAATGGGCACATGAAGGGACATCAAGAGATCAGGCTTTCCAGAAGAACCTGCTTGAAAGACTGACCTTCAGCAAGAAAAACTATGGATTTTTTTTTTAAAAGAAACTTGTCTAATGACCCTGTTTATTCCTCAGGTAATAGGAGAAAGAGCACAAATATTAAATTGGCCAATGCTCTACATTAAGAAGACTGAGATGCTAAGCTGAGGAGTATATATATAAGGTGAGAGGTACCCAGTAGGCCATAGGGTTACTTCTAATGGCTGGAGAAGGACTAATGTTCAGCCTGTCTTATATTTGTTTAACACTTGTCCTTTGACAGGTATTGAATATAGGGACTTGCCATGCAGTTGTAGGTGGTGACCCCCAAATTCTCTCTCCTCCTTCACATCTAGACCCCAAACTTCTCACATCACCTAAGCCTTGATTTCAAGAGTTAGACATGGATTAGGTCCTCTTGGCCCAACTGTCACCTGGCCAGGTAAGTTCCGATAAGGCATGTCAATAGTAGCACTAACATGTAGATAGATTTCTCTCCCGAAGCATTTGTCCTTACTGAACAAGTACTAAAGGGAGCCATGACTGAGGTTGGGGGTGACAAGATGAGCCTGATTCAACTCTCAGTTCTGCCCTCAGAAGCAAGCATGTAAAGGAAACTTGCTACATGCCTAGCTCACCTCCTTACCAAGTATCCCTGTGACTTACAAAATGAGCTTTCTTCAACAGCATGACCAAGAGATGCTCTGCACTAAAATCAAAGATGTCTAAGGCAATAGAACTGGAGCATCATTGATTGTGTTCATCAGTTCACTATGAAGACAATGATGAAAAGGTTACTATGTGCAGATTCCATGTGACACAGTGATAAACAAGGCAGACTGTGGAATAACAGGAAGTTGTCTGCCTTCAAGGTCCATTCACTGGGGTCATACACATATAAATGTCACTGTGGAGCCAGGTGAAGTGGCACATGCCTGTAATCCCAGCACTTGGGGAGGTAGAAGCAGGCAGATCTCTGTGAGTTCAAGGCCAGTCTGGTCTACAAAGCGAGTCCAAGACAGCCAAGGCTACACAGAGAAACCCTGTCTCAACAAACAAACAAACAAACAAACAAACAAACAAACAAAAAAGTCACTATGGTATAACCTAGAGTAGCAGAGTGCAGATGACATACAGAGTTCATTGACAAAAGATGGACTTTGGTTGGAGAATTGATAGGACATAAGAAGATAGTATCTGGAGTAACAAGTGACAGACCCTTAGGGCTGCAAAACACCACAAAGTATGGCAGGACCTCCACACAGAGATGACAGAGTCAACAAGTTTGCATGAAATGGGGGAGGGGAGTGTTTCCTGCTACCAAAAACGTCATTGATTTATAATTGAATGTAGCATAGGAATCATGGGAAAACAATGAATACGTGAAGAAAGAAATGCGTTCTCTCTAAGGGCTCTGGTGCCTCTACTGCTGACTGTTGGGTCTGAGCAGGTAAGAGACATAACCCAGCTCATATATGAGACCATTGCTCCAGTGGCCAAGCATGTATAGTTCAAAGGAATGCAAGAGTGACAAAAGGAACTTGGTCATGGGCTGTTTTACATAGGTGATAAGGGCTTGAAACAGATAGACATTTCAGGTGGATTCAGAGGAGCAGCCAGAATCCAGGTACTAAGTATAAGGAAGAAAGATGACTTAGCAGTAGTTTCAAAAATGGTACCTGGTAACTCAGAACACAGATAGATGATTGTTGCAAAAAAAAAAAAATGTATAGGAAGAGACTGAGAATTACAGCGAGGCAATGACCCTAGAATAAGGATCAAAATTCCACATGGCTTCAAGAGCCCAATAGTGAATGAAGAAAATAATATGTTATGTGACAGTGTGCAGAGAAGATTATGGGTGTAAAGAGACCGGAAGTTTCTTCCTAATTGGGGAGAAAGGAGACAGCAGCTACTCAGCTACAGCTGTTTGTTGTCATAGAGAGGAAGACCCACAGAGACCAATTTCTCCACCCACTTCAAATACTCCAGAAATCATTTTTTTTTAAACCCAAATGAAAACTCTCCAATTTTAGCACCATCTAATTAAATAATATCCCTGAAGTTAGCCTTTTTTTCTCTACTGAGCTGAGGTATGTTAGGGGGTGAGGGCATTGTGGCTTCCATAATAGGTCACACTCACCCAAAGCACTAGACACACCACTGGTGAATGTGTAGTTGATAAACGGAGATTTCTCCACCATCTGCCAGAAGTCAGAAAGATTCCTTCCTGAAAAAAAAAAAAATCACACCATGGATTTGGAATCTCGGGTTTGTCTGCTGGAGTGTGAAGCTCAATGTTCCTCCAGAGAGCTTCCCGGTCTCTAATGCTCGCTCACCTGACTTCCCCGCCATCACACAAATGAAGACACAGTCGGATTCATTGGTCTGACTCACTGCAAAACAGACACAATAAAGACTTTGCAATGTCCAACCAGGGTGTGGTCTTTTGGGTCAGCCCTGAGGCTGCGATGATGATGGTGTTTCTGTCTGCCTGGTCCCTGACTCGGCATATCATGTACACTGTCTCATTGACCCCTCACCACCATCCTATGGAGAAGACATAAGCATATGTCTGCAAACCTTTAATAGTTCATCTTCCATGTGTTTAGAGACAACTATGTTTAGGAATTCAGAAGTTCTAGATTTTTGAATGTCTCATGGAATGTCTGTACCTTACTAACAGAAGATCTCCCAGCAGCAACAAGGGAAATCCTGCAGCAAATTCCATTCATCCTAGCCATTATTCATTCAGCAAATTGTTTAAGCCTTGGTAGTATGTAGAAAATAGTCACCTTCTCTGAATCTGCCTTTTTGTCTTTAAAAGAGGAGGGGCAGTAACAGCCACTGCTAGAGCCTAGTGATACCACCCCTCCATGTTGGTTGCAGTATTTTCCCTTCAATTTCTAGAACTCCAGGAATGCATCAAGAATGGATGATGGATGCATCAAGAACAGGTGTTGAAAACCAGCCCACATCAATAACCTAAATAGAGCTTACCTGAAGGCTTCTGTCAGCCTGACCCATGACCAGGCTTGGGAATGTGGAAACCTACCAGGCTTGGCTATATTCCTTGAGGAATGACAGACCTCAAGTTTTCTAGGCACCTTAAAGATACACACCAGAGAGGATGGAGGTTGATTTAAAAATCTCAGTGAGATAGCTGGTAGAATTCCCAACAATGTCCACCAGCAACGCTGTGAAATCTACAAGACAAATTGGAGAAGCTCTCTGAATTCTAATACAGAGACACAAGGGGGAAAAGATTCCATTTCAATTTTTCCTCTTTTCAGAATAGATTTTACAACTGTAGTTTAAGTTAATATGTTAAAGACTATTGAAACCCACACATAGAAAAATACTAGTTCAAAAAATAGTAAAGGTGAATTCAAGCAGAGAACTTTTTATAATCCAACTCTTTCTCTTGTAATTTCCAAGAACTACCAAAGATCCCCATTACTTCATCTAATTTTGTTAGATTATCAAATCTATTCAAGATAAATCATGCCCACAGACTTGTAAGGTCAATTTACATAAAGTTGGAATTTGAAAATACAGTCAAATTTAATGTTGGGTTGTGAACTACAGACATCAAAGTAGACAAGACCTCTACAAAATATTCCCGGGGTTGTATCCTTTTGTCCACTTTGTCTAGAACATGGAAGGAAAAGTCTGGGAGATTTATTATGACATTTTAGTTTGCAGAACCATTGAACACTTTCTTTCTGCCTTATACAGATGCTTCTTTTACTCATCAACAGAATTGTGAGTTGTTTGCAAGAATAGCTGGGCTTGAACATGATACCCTGCAGATGCAGACTAATGCTCTATGGTGATCAGTAGTTAGTGGAGCAGGGCCAACACTAGCAGGAGGTGGGCAATGTTAAGTGTGAGCCTGAGCCACAATGAGACTTTATATGTTTGTGTGGTCATAGGGTGACCTGGCTGTTTTTGTGTGTCAACTTAATACAAGATGAAGTCATCAAGAGGAAGGAGCCTCAGTTGAGAAAGTGCCTCCATAAACCTCAGCTGAAAGACATTTTCTCAATTACTGATCAATGGGAAAGGCCCAGCCATTGTAGGTGGTCCCATCTCTGGGCTGGTGAACTTGGGTTTTATAAGTAAGTAGCATTCCACCATGGCCTTTGTATCAGCTGCTGCCTTGGGTTTCTATCCTGTGTGAGTTCCTGTCCTAGTTTTTTTTTTCATTACCAATGCAGTACTGTTAGCCAAATAAACCCTTTTGTCCTCAGTTTTCTTTTTGGTCATGGTGTTTCCTCCCAGCCCATAGAAATCATAATTAAGACACCTTGGATGTCTTATGGAGAAATACCATACAGTGCACATCTGCAGGTGTTGACATTATTTTGTGCAGAAGGCTGGTGACCACGATCCTCTTTCCTTTTTATATTATGTTGTAGAGCCTGCTAATGTGTACCATCTCATTACCCAACTATTTATTTTTCTTCTACTTCTCAAAACTCTTTTTCATTAATTCACTTACCCAATAAATATCTATAGAGTGTCTGCAGTTTTCCAATACCTACTAGGTATTGGAGATTTTTTAAATATATACAGCAGAAGTGAAAGTTAATGAAGGGTATCAAGGATCAGCATGTAAAGGCATTGGTCACCAAGCCTGCTCACTTGTGTTTGATGTCCTGGACTCACATGGTGGAAGGAGAAAACCTACTCCTTAAAGTTGTCCTCTGACCTCCACATGTGTGCTATGGCACACTGCTGGTGCATGTGCGTGCCCCTCCAATAAATACATAAATAAATAAATGTATATTTAAAATACTTTAAAATTGGTGGGGAAGAAAGGCTCACAAGTTGAATGATAAATGCAAAGTTGAAATCCATTATTTATGTTGCATAGAGGCTATGAGCAACACTACGGATCCAGATGCTAAGGCTTGACCCCAGTTCTGCCCAAGGTTAAAAAATGATGGTAACTGCCCAGAGTTTTACAACATAGTACAGAGCTTGGGTTTCAGCTGAGATTTGCCTTGAGCCAAAAGTCTTTTCCTTCCAAGATTCCTGCTACCACTTATACTGTCACTCATTATACTCAGCATCCTCTGTCCACTTCCTCTTTGAAATTGTTTACAACTCTTTCACTGTGTTTGGAATAAAGTCAGTTATCATTACTTTGAAGATATTCTTTGTTCCTACAGAAATTCAGTTAATTGATTTACTGTCAGTGCTCAGGGATGAATTACGGCTAACTTTCTTTATATGTAAATAGAAAACAGGAACAGCTTTTTATTTATTTATTTAGTCTATTCAATTAGTGATGACTTAAGACTTTTAATATTCAGTGTGAACAGGCTATGGAACAAAAATCCATTTGAGCATTGCTGACAAAAGCACCAATGCCTGAAAGATTTTTAGAAGTTTTAACAAATCGAATCACAACAAGATTGTCTCCCTGTCAACCAACACTTTCATTTCAAGGGCTTTATCCTACAGAGGTAATTTGGCTTGTGCTTGAAGTGATTCTGCACAGGTGTTCATTGTAGCACTGTTTATAATAATAAAGGCTGTCAGGAATAAGAGGCCAGTAAATAACCATCACCTTGTATTTCAATGAAAAGTCTGTATCCATTTGAAAGACTGGGCATATTTCTATATACTGCAATAGAATGGATTTTTAAGGCACACACTCCAAGAAAATTTACCAGTTGTACATATGATGGGGATCAGGGCATCACTGCACCCTCATCAATAAGACTTCTTCTTGCAGTAGATGGAAATTAACACAGAGACCCATAACTGGACACTGTGCAAAAAGTGGTTTTGGAGCACTCAGCCTTAAATTGCATGCCATTATCAAACCCCTCTTCTCAAAGGGCAGGGATCTATTTTGAAGAGGACACAGTAAGACTGTAAGAGCCACGCAAACCATGTCAAGGAAACAACATTTTCTGAACACAACAGGACTGATGCAGGTGAATTCTTGGAGACTTGTGTAGTATCAAACTAGATGGAGTCCTCCCACTGAGAAGGGTGAATGGCCACAAAGTGCCACCTCCATCCAAGAATCTACCTGCAACTGACAACTTTGGGAAATGGGAAAATCAGTTTTCTGCAATGGAGTGTTATTGGGTACATCAATCACACTCCAGGGAAGACCCATGCCCAGAAATAATGGGTCAAAAATGAATTCTATGTTTGTTTTTGTGCACTCTTCATTTTGTTCTGGTGGGGGATATTTTTCAACTTGGTTTTTTTTTTCAGTTTATTGGTTTGATTTTCTTTTTCTTTCTGTTTTTGAGAGAGAGAGAGCATGGTGTTGATGGGTAGGTAGATTGGGAGGTTCTGGGAGAAGTTGATGTGAAGAGCTGTGATCAAAACAGTATAAAAAGTTATCAAAAAGTGGATAAAGTTAGAAAATAAGTCAAAAAATACATGCCCCAAAGTTACTTTATTTAAAGAATATTGTATTTTAGTGAAGACAAAGTTTTCTTTTTTTTTCTTTTCTTTTTAACACAACTCCATCTTCAAGCCTTCTTTGCAGGGGTGTGGCCATGTCACTAAATTCTACACAATGGAATGTAAATGGTTTCTACATTGTAAGTGTATAGCAAATCAGTATGCCTTCCAATTTTTTTCACCCTTGTCTTACAGCTGGAGTGCGGTGATAAGCTACCTTGCATCGTGAGAAAAAGATGACACCTTATATATTCAGAGTAACAAGTTAGAAGGAACATGCATCTTTAGAGGTTATACAGCTATGACTAATGTTTCTAAAACTTATTAATAAAATATATTAAATAGTTATGTAGAAAAGGAAACTACAAAAAGAAGTCTTTGCTTCTTCTGAAATCTGTATTTTAACAAGTAGCTAAAAGAATCTTATTACAGATATAGTACAAACACTGTTGTTCCTTGGTACAGGAGAACTACTCCATTGCACTAATTCCCGAGTTGTTGTCCTTATGGTTTATTAGCTGCCTTTCATTTGAAATGCCTTCATTTAATTTCTGTCTCTTCATCTAGACTTGTGGTTCTTAACCTTCTAGTGCTGCAGTCCTTTCATACAGTTAGTTCCTCATGTTGTGGTGACCCCCAACCACAAAATTATTTCATTGTTGCTTTATAACTGGAATTTTGCTACTGTTATGAATTTTAACACAAATATCTGATATGCAAGATAGCTGATACGTGACACTCCCTTCCTCAATGGGATCTTGACTCACAGGTAGAGAACCGTTACTCTAGACTCTAAGTTCCATTGGAACAAAATGTGTCCTCTCTCCTCAGGCCAGGAAGATTGCTTCAGTAATAGTATATTCTCAATAAAGATTTGTTGCTTGGGTGAGGTCATAGGAAGAGAGAAATCTTCACTTTTACTTTCCGAGAATCTTTAAATTTAGGAAGCATTCAATACTTTTGAATTATAAAAGTAATAGATAGTGTCACTGAAAAGAATTCCAGATATTGCAAGGCCATATTAATGAGGATTCTTCCATTTCAAAGCATTCCAATCTTCATATCAGAGATAACAGCCTTTCTGGTATCCAAATTTTACCATTGTTAACATTGTATTCTGGATACTACTTAGAATTATTTTTTTATCTGAAGATTTTTAGGAACATTGTTTCCCTTTTAGAGCCAACATCTGGCTATGCACAGTCATTTTTTCACTATATGGGGCTACTTTTCAAAGTTTCGTGGTGGTGAATATTTACATTTTTCAATAATTTTGCTACAAAAACAATGTTAATGAACACCCATTTGTGTATACATAGAGGTTTCTCTAGAGTAAAAACAGACATGGAAATATGCACACATTTAAGTGTAGTAAGCACCACTATCTTATCTCACTATGAGAAAAAAATCACATCTAAATGGCACAATCAAATTGGAAGAGCTACAAGGGTATGGTGTGCTCCACCTACCTGATAAGTCATTGGTCCTATTGTTCAAACAGTAGCAATACCTGGTAGGGAATTTGGCCGGGTCAACTTTCTTTGGGTTGGAAACTGTGAAGAGAAAGTATTATCTCAGTACCATGACACTGTACCTGGCCCTGAGCCCTTCATCCACCACATCGTCACCAGAGAACTGTTATCACTTACTGTTGTAGATGGCCAAGGAAACCTTGTGGAAGGCAAATGAACTATAAGAAGTGATGCTAAGCACGGAGAAGAATTGCTTGCTGTCTGCTGTAGAGGGTGAGAAAGAAGCACAAATGTTTGCTGATGTATCCTTAAATAAATCAATACTAGAAATGCCTGTAATTTCAGCTCTAGGAGTCTGAGAAAGGAGGATTCTGTTTGTAGCCGGTCAGAGCTATATAGTGAGTTTTTGTCATGAAAAGGAAACAAAAACATCTGTGTGAGGGACAGTGAATATGAGCAAGATAAGGGATGTATTTCTAGGAAAATGTCATAAACATTTATAAACATCTAGACCAGTATAATAAAATAGAAGACCCAAGCATCAGTACATGTAACTATAGTCACAAGATATATTTTAGTTAGGGTTTCTTTTGATGTTATCAAACACCATGACTAAAACAATCTGGAGAGAAAATTATTTGACATGATATTTGACAAAGATACCAAAAACATACATTGGATAAAAGAGTCTTTTCAGCAAGTGGTGCTGAGAAAACTTGATGTCCACATGCAGAAGAATGAAATTAGACTCCTATCACCTTGAACAAAAATTAACTCCAAGTGGTACAAAGTACTCATATTAAAAAGTAGGAAATATTAAAACCATTAGAAGAAAACATAGGTAGTGATCGACAAGATATAGCCGTAGGAAAAGACTTTCTGAGTAGGACTCCATTTGCCTAGTAATTAAGGACACAATTGACACGAGACATCATAAAACTAAGAAATCTGTACAACTAAGGAAACAATCAAAAGTGAAGAAGAAACACACAGACTAGAGGAGGAAATTTGTTAGCTGTGCATGTTACAGAGGACTAATATTGAGAATAAATAAAGAATTAAAAAGTCAGAAAGTTAAAAAAACCAAATAACCCAATTATATAATGGGCTATAGACCTGAACAGTGAGTCCTCAATAGAAGAAATAAAGATGCCCAATAAATAACTCAAAAGTTTTCATCATCCTTAGCAATTAAGGAAGTGCAAACTGAAACAGTTTTTAGACTTCATCTCACCCCACACAGAATAGTTAAGATCAACAAAAGAACAATTGAGAACAAATATAAGCCATTTTGTTTACGGAAGCAAAAGAAAATTTATATGTAAGGAGAAAAAAAAAGTATGTTGGAGTAGCTCCCAGCCACAATGAGTAAGTTTGCAACAAATCTACTGTACCTAAAGGCTTAGGGAACACTGCAAACGAGGAGGCAGAAATACTCTAAGAGCCAGAAGACCAGAAAGACTGCTATGGGAATATTTCTCCTAGATATGACAGGGAAACTACACCTACAATAGGAACAATATAGCTGCCCTAACAAGACCAGAATAGTTACACTATTAATAGACCTGCTAATAAGGAAAGAGAAACATCATGAGGTTCCACCCTTAGTCAAATCACTATAGGCAACTAACAAATCCCAAGAGGAAGAATTAAACTCTTTAAGCGATGAGGCTTCTAATTGGTTGTCCACTTCAAAGTTATCCCTGAAATTATATGCACACAAGCCATAATACATTGACTCAGCGCGTCTATCATCTATGTAAAATCGAGGAGAAATTAACATAAAAGAAAATAAGAAAAAAAGAGAAACAGTATTTTATAAGTAAACAGACTAAAAATACAACAAATAAATTATAAAAGTAGATAAATACCAATAAAGAAAAATTTTCAAAAATTAAATGATTATGAAGCAAAATAAAAACCAGCATGGTATAATATCCCCTAAAGTACAAAAGTATGCATAATTTGGTGGTAACTAACAGCTCTCTAATTGAATATAAGGCCTTCTCAACAAGAGGAAAACCATTCCTGGTACTAAAACTTAGGTAATTACCCAGAGCTAGTAAAGTCATGGATCATGGAAGAGAATCCACAGCCACCACTTTACTAGGCAAATATAATGAACTACATTCTAAACATTTATCCTTATACCTTCAGATAAGAACAGGTCTCACCCTTCATCAAATAAATGTCTTGTTGCAAAAGACAGAGATCATTACAGAAAACCACAATTAATCAAAATGCAAAGAACTGTATGGTGCTCAGCCACAACTGATAAAAAATCTAGGATATAACTCCTACACCCAAGACTCAGGGATTGTAGAGGAAATAGGGTTGGAATGACTGTAAGAGTCAGAGAAGTAGGAAGTTTTCTGTGAGATGCTAACTACTAGAAATGTCAGAGAAATTATACCCGTGAAGTCTTATTGGCACAGCTTTCTACACCAATATACATGGTAACATGAATTGAAGAGTCTCACAGGGCCTCAACCCTGAACAAAGAACTCCAAACAAGGAAATGTTGAGAGTCAAAGAAATAGCCTTCCCCAGGGAAGAGGCCACAAATTGGTTTTCCAATACAAAGCATTAAACCCTGAAATCACATATATATGAGTAATATTGTATAGCCTGAGCAGGTTACATTTACATATTTAGGGATATATACATATACATGTATATCTAACAACAATCACCTGAGAAAAAGCAGCATGTATGCCTGGAAAGGGTTGGAAGGAAGAAACGGATGAGGAGAACAATGTATTGCAATTGTATTTTAGTTTTTAAAAACAAATTAAAAAATAAGATAAAATCAAATCCAAAGCAAAAACCTACTATAATAGTAGTTGTCATTGGACTATCTGGTCTACCTGGAAATTCCAGCAGTCTTTAAATCAGCATCTTGGATGTATTAATTTCTCCAAGTTATTGTGACAAATTCCTACACACATAGTGACATAAAAACAAGAGAAGTTGATAATCTCATTATTGTAGAGTATGAAAAATTGGAAGGTGGGTATCCAGAGTTCTGAGTTCTTTTAATAAGTGGATCAAGTTACTTTTATTTGTCCATATTGTGAAGCCTTAGCAAGTGCTATTTACATACCCTTCTCAATTCGTACAATGTTGAATTGTCATTCTCTAGCCCTTTACCCTGTACAGCACTCATTGCCTATGTATTCTCTTTACTGATTAAGAATTCTGTTTATTGATGCTCAATCCTCATTCAGAAATGCAAACAGGATAGACATTGGAAGAGGAAAAAAACAGGGAAGAGGACAGGAGCCTACCACAGAGGGCCTCTGAAAGACTCTACCCAGCAGGGTATTGAAGCAGAGGCTGAGACTCACAGCCAAACTTTGTGCAGAGGGTAGGGAATGTTATGAGAGAATGGGGGAGGATAGAAAGACCTAGAGGGGACAGGAGCTCCACAAGGAAAGCAACAGAACCAGAAAATCTGGGCACAGGGGTCTTTTCTGAGACTGATACTCCAACCAAGGACCATTCATGGAGATAACCTAGAACCCCGGCACAGATGTAGCCATGGCAGCTCCATCTCCAAGCAGACACCCTAGTAAGGGGAACAGGGACTGTCTCTGATATGAACTTAGTAGCTGGCTCTTTGATCACCTACCCCTGAGGGGTGGGGGCAGCCTTACTAGGCCAGAGAGGAAGGCAATGCAGACAGCTCTGATGAGACCATGGATTCTTCATGTTCTACCTGCAATTTTTAGATATCTGCTGCAATTTCTAGATACCTATCTTTTGATTTTGTTATAATGGATTCATGGATTTTCAATCATTAAGTAGCTGCTACCTATACATTATTATTACAGAGGCTAAAATAATTAAAAGAAGGCTAATTAGAACAATAATGTAAGCCTCAGCAGTCCTTTGTTGTAAAACAACATATTTTATGTTATATTAGCTTAATTAATATTTTTTCCTCGGGTGATACAGTTGTGATTGCAAATGACAGTCCTGCTGGCTCTTTGATCACCAAACCCTGAAGTGAGAGCAGCCTTACCAGGCCACAGAGGAAGAAAATGCATCCAGTCCTCATGAGACCTGAGAGGCTAGGGTTAGATGGAAGGAGAGGAGGACCTCCCCCACCAGTGGAATGGGGGAGGGACATGGGTGGAGAAGAGGGAGGGAGGATGGGATTAGGAGGGAATAAAGGAGGGGGCTACAGGTGGGATAAAAAGTGAATAAAATGTAATTAATGAAAAGAAAAAGAAAAAATAAAAAATATTTAAAAAATGACTGGTTACCTTTTAAAGCTCTACTGAGCATTCCATTCACGAGTTCAGTCAGATTGAGTGCAGACAGGTCAACTGACCTTGCTGGGAGTTCTGAAAAAGATTTAGAAACATATATGGTAGGATCTTCTCTGCAACAGAAACAGTTTCTCATCTCTCCAAACTTAGATGGAAACTTTTTCAGGCACATGTTGAACACAGACAAAGTGCTAGACACAAGGGGCTCAGAGGTAAGCAGCATTTCATGCCAGGAGCTCAGTAGGTGACAGTCAATGACACACACAGTGACTCAAATAGCACTTGTTTTTAGTTACTGTTTTATCTCTGTGTTTGGAGAGAGCAGGATTCGACATATACAGGCTCAGGGCCATCATGAGTGTTCTCAGCACCTCTGAATTTGGAAATTGGCACACTGATTCATACGTGGACATGGACACAAGCCTGGCAGGATACTGACATCTACTAAAATATTATTATATTTTAAACTTCCACAATTCCAATGTATGGGTTTCATTCTCAGAAATGCAGTTTTGATAGAACTTGGGTGTGGCCTCGTCATCAGTATGGAACAACAAAATACCCCAGATGTTGGTGTGTTCGGCCATGTGGACAGATGCTGCCAGTTAAAATATTCCCTTCTCCCATCTGTTACTTGAGGACAAGGAAACAATGCAGACAGATAGTTGATGGTCTTCTTTATATTATTATAAACATTATAAACATTGTCTTTTCCAGTTTTTACCTTCTACATAGACCTGCTGTCCTGATTGTGAATTCTTTTAGAGAAATGGAAAACATTTGCTTAGCAGTCTAGATTCCCATACATGGTGGAGATACTCACCTGTCGTAGCAAGAACCTCTATGCCCTTTACCATCTTTTCTTCTCTGAAGAAAGACTCTGGGAAAAGAAAATAATTCATGACATAACGTAAATCTCTATTCCTAGCCCCAGGGATTTGGGGAAGACTTGGGGTGACTCTCAGGCTCAACAGAGTAGGATCACTGAGGGACCCTGTGGAAGGAAAAGGCTGGGTCTTCCTATGCTTTCTTCCTTAATTCAGTTTCAGTTCTAATCAGATGACTAGCTGTGGTCTAAAGAACCATACACTCATAAATAAAATAATGATAATGTGGAATGTCTAATCTTCCTACCTCATTGACTGAGTCAGAAAACTGGGCTGCAGAGAAAAGAGCACCATGTCTGACTTTGCACAACTAAGCTGTGGGGTGAAGGGCTCAGCACCCACTTCTTAGAACTGAGGTGCAATGGACCTCTATAAACAGCAGTATAATTGCTTGTGGGTTTTTTGCTTTGGGAAGCTTCCTTTCTGTGGCTTTGGAAGCAGGATAATAATGAGCAATGACAGCAGGTGCTGTAAGCACATATAAGAGGGCACTAACCTAGCCACAGGGCAGGAAAGGGCATCCTTGAGACAGGGACTGACTTGCAGAACTAGTCAGTTTGAATTAGAGGATAGATAATCACACTGTACCTGTAGCTATCACAGTTGCAGGAATGACTTTTCATGTAAGCTGAGATAGAAAATGCAGAAGAATAAAGGTATAGAGTCTGGAAAATATCCCCAGTGTCCTGAGTCAGTCAGTACTAGGACTGGTCTCCATACCTGCTGCATGAGGGAAGGATCCAGATTTCTCCTGTTTGAGGCCTTTGTTTCCAGACACTGAAACAGAAATTCTCACAAGTGAAATGCACATACTCGCACAGTACGTAAAATCCTTTAAAATCATCTTGTTCATCACTGCCTTTGAAGGATGGAGCGATTTAAGTGATAGAACCAAGTTCCACAACAAGCAGAGGCAAAGATAAAACTAAAACACAGGCAGATGAGATCTTCAGTAAGATAACTCTGCTATGACTTTCATCTTGATTCATTATAGTATCTAAAGTATAATATATATTCTTTTTCATTATAACAAGATGTAATATGAAATCAATTCTTCTACGGTATTTTAAAATTCTGTTTGTTTACAGATACATACATGTATATAATACGTACTAGTCATAGTCATACTTCTATCATCTCCCCTTATTCTGGCCACCAAGTCTTTTCATGTCTTTTCATTTTGTCTTGTGACACTGAGTTTAACCAAGGCCATTTAGTAGAGCATGGAGCATGGACAACTCTTCACTGGCTACCTCACTAAAAGAGTGATTTTCTCTTTTCCAGCAGGCCTCAACTGCCATCAGCCATGGAATGATTTACGTGAGATAGTTATTGACAACTATGCTGCTTAAGCCAATTATTTAAGCCAAGTATTTAGTCCTTATATTGACCACCAGACCAAGAGCAGGTTAATGCCTCTGAATAGTCTCTTGGTATCCAAGCTCATGCAAAGGATTTTAAAAGACAAATCCACAATTAAATCAGTGTTTGAAGGGAACGTTACATTAGTGAGGGATTTGGTCAGCCTACAAAAATACTGGAAAATCGGCAGTATTTTTTAGACACCACATAATATGTTTGGACCATGGTCAAAGCCATGAGCAGTCCCACAAGGGTTGCCAAGGCCAATGTAGCTGCTGGGGGTGGAATGCTGAGACGTGGCCTGGCAGGCACAAAATAAATCTAGGATGGGACCAGCTATTCTAGGCTGGTCCCATGAGACCCTCCTCCAGCTATGAATGGATGTGTACCTGCTTAGTCTGGTGTGGGCCTTATGAAAGCAAATGCAACTGTTGAGTTCATGAATGCACAGCCATGTCATACCCATAAAAGATAATTTCCTTGCCATCCTCCTCATTGGATGACATTCTTTTTGTCCCATCTTCCATGATGTTCTCAAGGCTTTCTCTACGTAAAATTTTGTTTGAGGAAATCTATGTTTAAATATCTTTCTTTCTTTCTTTCTTTCTTTCTTTCTTTCTTTCTTTCTTTCCTTCCTTCCTTCCTTCCTGCCTTCCTTTCGACAGTGGCCTAGTTGATATCTAATATAAAATTTGTATTAATTCTTTAAGAATGTCATACATGCATGTAATGTATGTATGACACACATACAAACACACACACACCCTTTTCATAACTCCTCCAGATTCATCTCCCACTTGTCTGTTATGTAGCAGCTTCTCCTGAGATTAGAGCATTCCGTCCTGCAGACAAGCTCATTAAGACAGGAAATACACAACTCAAATTAGCTTTAGGAAGTTCCTTCAACTGTCCAGATTTACTAGTCCTGTCCCTCTCCAAGAATCTTGAAACAGTAAAACTGCTGAGAGTCACTCTCAGACAATCCTACCTGCTGGCAGAAGCAGAGACAAGTTGAGCTGCCTGGAACAAACAAAGACCAGCTAAGCTTTCTTAGAAGAGTCTCAGAGCTGCCGAGTCACTTCGACACTCTCCAACCTGTTGAGCTGCCTATAGGCTATGTAGTGCACTCCAAGTTTCCAGCCTTTGTGGCTTTTACCCATGTTAGGGTGGGCTTTGGGGATGCAACTATCTTTGAAAGATTTATGTTCCTAGAAACGTCTCCTACAAGTAATTCCAGTAAAAGTCATTAGTTCACAAAGTTGGGCTTTGGTAACTGTATTTTGGCTATCTGTACCTTGACCCATTGTAGGGTTGCCCATCCATCATGAGTAGACGTGTGTGTTTCATCCATCCAGGGAAGTCTGTCTTACAAGATTCTAAAGCAGCCCTCCACACACTGACAGCATCATGTCCTCTTCATTTTATAACCCACTCAGTCCAGTTTGTATTGCCTACACTCGTGAGTAGGGCCATCCATCGGAGTGTGTCTGATCTACTGGGGAGGACGTCCTTAATGAAACTTGACTCTTCCTCTCTTAGTTGCTGCCCTGTCAGCAGCTCCTCAGAGAGCGGTGCAGCTCATGAGCCCCTCCAACCTCTGCAAAGCATAATTTTTTAACCTCATTGATTTCTCCAATCAATAGTTACATATGCCACTCTTCTTTTTAAGTTAGAAATCCTTGTTTTTCAGAAACAAGGAAACAAATTCAAAGTGTACAACAAATGTCCCTGAAAACCAGAAGTAGGTATTTCTGTGGAAGCATTTAAAAAGAAGCCACTCTTCTTTTTAAGTTAGAAATCCTTGTTTTTCAGAAACAAGGAAACAAATTCAAAGTGTACAACAAATGTCCCTGAAAACCAGAAGTAGGTATTTCTGTGGAAGCATTTTAACTGTATGTGCTTTTTGTACTATTTGCCTTTCAGATGTTCCTATTTTTTCATCTTGTGTTCATGTCTGTTCACATTGTGTGCGGGTACATATCATGTAAGTGAGGACAGAAAATAATCTTAGCTGCTGTTCTTTAGGCAGTGACTACCCTGGCTCACTAATAAATAATAATAATATCTTTCACTAACTCGGACCTCAGGAAGACTAAGCTGGCTGAGTAAGGCTCCGGTGGTTTGTCTACCCATCCCTGAGTCCCTGGCCCTGGGATTACAGGTACACCTCACCATGTCTGCCTTAAAGAAACAGAACAAAACAGACAAACAAACAAAACATGGGCTCTGGGAATTGAACTTGAATCCTTGGGAAGTCATTTTTCTGACTGAGCTATCTTGCCAAATGTTTTTGTTTTTCTTCCTCAGACAGTCTTGGTGTGACCCAGGCTGTCTTCGCATGTGCAGCTAACCTGCCTTTGCCTCCTGAGTGCTGCTATTATCGGCATGTGCCACCATATCTTGGAAAAGCACAGTGACCTTCAAAAGCCAGTTTCAAATAATTGTTGGACAGTTTATATAACTCCATTATCTTGCTTTTGGATTAAAAAAAAAGCATCACACAAACATTTTTACAGTAGCTGGTGACTGATATCTGATCGTCTCCACACCCAACTCCTAGTATTTTATTGCATTTTATTCTCTCTGATTTAATTTGATGTTGGAATTATCCTCAGTTAAAAGGGAGAAAGTTAGAGGCTCAAATAGATTGAGTATTTGTGAACAATTATTACACTCATACATAATATATTGATATAGCTGGCAGCTTTGGAGAAAGAGAAGTGTGTCCTGTGGAAGCATTTTAACATTCTGCAAATTTTGTGCTATTTGCCTTTTTAAAGCACTAGATGCTCTACTTAAAAGTAAAATTTAGAAATTGAGAAGAAAATTTCATGCTTTATAAAAGCCCATGTAAATACAGAAGAATTTATCCTGCTTATTTTTTTTTTTTAATTCAGAATGGATGGGGAGACTCTGCTCTGTGAGCTGTTCTGCAAGGCACATTTTGTAGGTCAAGTTCATATTATGTATATCAAGAAAGGTAAGAGAGAGAGAGAGAGAGAGAGAGCTATTTTACAGGTGATGATGACAAATAACAATGCTTCCATTATAAAATATCATCTTCTTATGGAAAACCACAGTGTGTGTGTATTTAGTAAGATCCTCAGAAGGAACAATGCAGAGAGCTCTGGGAATCTGCTGGAGCTGACTGAGCCCAGGAAGCACAACCACCCATTTACCTGTTGCGGGTAAGTGACCCATTCCTTTGTCTTTCTTGCCTTCTCCTTTAAGACCAGACACTAAAATAAAATAAAATGAAATAAAATAAAATAACAAAATAAGTTTCATCAAAGCAGTTACAGTGCAGACATAACATCAGAAAGGTTTTAGTTCAAGTTACCTATGTTTATAGATGAGAGAATCACCATCTAGTATTTGCTTAAAATCCCACCTGTTTTGCTCATTCAGTCATGAGTTATCACATATTTACCAAAGACAAATATGACTGAGACTGCTACTCAGCATCAGAGTTTGCTAGGTATTGTGAGTATGGGTGAGGCAGATATGAAAGACAGGAATTCAAACATGTAAGAAGTAATAATTGTTAACAGTGCTTTGATGGAGAATGGGAGTGTAGATGGCAGGGATCCCAATCTTATCTCAGCAATGTGGAAGTCTTTCTTGGGTGGACATGGTGAACTGAGATCTCAGAATGAACAATATCTGGGTAGGACCTATGTGGCTGAGGGCTGTTCTCCATACAGAAAATAGTGTGTGCCCAAGTCCTACATTACCTTTGAGCATCTATCTAAGAAATGAGCTGAAGGTCAAGGTGTTGGAGCAAAGAAAAAGAATGAGATGGACATTTTATGGAAGCTGCTGAAGATGAGGTGAGCAAGATCATGTGGGGCACATAAAGGACCTGGAATGCCATCCAAAGAGAAACAAGACATCACTGAATCATTTATGGGAGATAAGAGTTGGAATGATGGGGAAATACAATCAAGTGATGTAATCATCTATACACAAAGATCACTTAGGCTGACAAGGGGAGAATGAAACAACGGGAGAATTAGTGAGCTAGTTCAGAATGCTCCCTTGGTGGGAGAACAAATAAAGGGTGGTGTGCTGTGAATACGGTGGCAGACAGGTAGAGCCTGCTGTGATACTCAACATTCAAGCACAAGCACAAAGAGCCACAGGAAAAGTAAATAACATGATTAACATTTTGATCAAAGCACAAAAGATTGTGCATTGAAACATTGTTGCTAGGATTCTTTTGTTTTTTTTTGTTTTTTTTTTTTTGTTTTTTTTTTTTTTGAGACAGGGTTTCTCTGTGTAGTCTTGGTGGTCTTGGACTCGCTTTGTAGCTTCGAACTCACAGAGACTCACCTGCCTCTGCCTTCCTGAGTTCTAGGATTACAGGAGTGCATTCTTTAATTTTTTTTAACTTTTATTAATTACACTTTATTCAGTTTGTATCCCTCCCATAAGCCCCACCATCCTCCCCTCCTAATCTCACCTTCCCTCCCCCTTCTTCATGCATGCCCCTCCCCAAGTCCACTGATAGGGGAGGTCCTCCTCTCCTTCCTTCTGATCCTAGTCTATCAGATCTCATCAGGAGTGGCTGAGTTGTCATCTGTGGTGGTGAGGCTGCTTGTCCTCAGGGGGAGGTGATCAAAGAGCAGGCCAATCAGTTCATGTCAGAGACAGTCCCTGTTCCCATTACTATGGAACCAACTTGGACACTAAACTGGGCTACATCTGTGCAGGGGTTCTAGGTTATCTCCATGCAAGGTACTTGGTTGGAGTATGAAACTCTGGGAAGACCCCTGTGTTCAAATTTTTTGGTTCCGTTGCTTTCCTCGTGGAGTTCCTGTCCTTTCCAGATCTTACTATTTCCCACTTCTTTAATAAGATTCCATGCACTCCGCCCAACAGTTGGCCATAAGTCTCAGCATCTGCTTTGATAGTCTGCAGGGCAGAGCCTTTCAGAGTCCCTCTGTGGCAGGTTCCTAACTTGTTTCCTGTTTTCTTTTTCTTCTATTGTCCATCCTCTTTGCCTTTCGGGATGGGGATTGAGCATTTTTGTCAGAGTCCTCCCTCTTGATTAGTTTCTATAGATGTACAGATTTTAGTAGGTTTATTTTATATTATATGTTTATATGAGTGAGTATATACCGTGTGTGTCTTTCTGCTCACTCAGGATGATCCTTTCCATGTGCATTCTTAAAGCACAATAATTCCCTCTTATAACACACAGAACAGACACCAGGAAGTGAACAGCCCACCTGTATTCCAGAGAGAGAGGGTACAGGCGAGTCCCATGCACAGCCTCACTAGAGGGCCATGCCGCAGGAAGCTCAGCATGCTTGGAAGCTTTGACAACCTGGGAGCAAAACATCAAACTCTTAGAGGAAGCCGGGCTTGCTCAGTAGTCGCTCTGTTGTAGAATATGCTCTGGGATCCGTGCTTCGGAAGTCGTTAGAAGACTGTCTAGCCAGGAAAGGTTTAGGTTGTACCGAGGAAACAAATGAACCCCATGATTTCAATGGCTTAATTTTAAAGGAAAGCTGATTTGTTTGTTTGTTTGTTTGTTTGTTAATCTCCGTATTTGATTATAAACACGTGGGGAGAGGGAACTCTGGACCACAGTTACTGAGGAATCTTAACCAGTGGGCTCTGAACCTCATTGTAGCTTTCCTCTTGGTAATCCATTAGGAATGGTGGCAGCGAGAATGGCACAGCTGGTGGGTGTGACAGCACTCCTTATGTGCTTTGGAAGAAAGTAATATTTGATTTTAGTTACAGTCTGTGTCAGAATCATGGTTCTACTCTGCATGAATTCAGGGCATCTGGGAATATGGAAAGTTTACATGCACACTTTAGGGGTGTTCATGTAGTTTCTGAGTGAGAAATAACTTTTAAAGACAAATCATTACTATTAACATTACTGTTAATATATATGAAATTTTAGAATTATGAATGTAAGTGACTATTTCAACTTGCTGCCACTCTCTGGCATCTGTGCCAGACGTCTTTGTTTATTCTGTAGCATAATAGCTAAAGTAGAAAACAATAGACTAATAATAATGACAAAAGAATTATTGGGCAGTTTCTGTGTGTCACATGCCACACAGAAGGCTGATGGACATTTTCACGCAGTGAAGACAGAACTGATAAGCATTCCCTTCAGCATAGGGAAGTGAGGATTCTTTCCTCCAGGACCTAGGTCACAATGGCGACATCACTGTGCCCTGCTGACTTCTGTGTATAAAACAGACAGTTGCTAGTGTATTCTGAACATTAAATGGGGTCATGAATCCAGCAGCTACTGCATTTGTTGGTCTAGAGTGGGTACTTAAGGATCTTAACTCTTTGTCATCCCATTACCTTTTGCTCTTTGCCCCCTCCCTTTCCTCATCTCCATTTGCAGAACCACAGAGCCACCAAGATGATGAGCAAATACAAGTTCAATACTTGTATTTCTGTAATAGTTGTACGTATTTTGTTGATTGCTGATCATCAATCAAAAGCTTCTTTTTACTAAAAGTCAATGTGTTAAACTTTATTACTTTAAGACCACAATTTCTGCTGATTTTGTTCATGGAGGAAAAAGTAATTTTCCTTCAGTTTCAGTTTCCATTCATCTCCATTGGTTGAATCAACTATATATTGAGAGGAAGGTAAGCAGACTTAGCAAATGAAAACAGGAAACACAGTTAAATTGAGTTTAAGACAAACAACAAATTTAGTGTAGCTCATTCCGTATGTGAGACAAGCCTGGCTTAGAGAGGCAGAGGGCACTTGAAAGAAATTCACAGCTAATACAGTAGATGGGCTTGACTTGAACTCATGATAGGGCTGACCCCTTCTGATCTCTCTAACCTTCCTTTTGCAAACCTAGGGTGCTATGGGACAGTTTAGGGTAGTGGACATGTGTCTAAGTCAGATGCATTCTATTTGATTCTTGAGCTGAATGTTGTAACCTAGATCTATCTAGATCTTCCCTCTACCCAAAGAAACTGATGAGACTTAGGTCACAGTTATTTGGAAGCATGAATTCTGGAGTCAGACTTGAACTTATTCCTTGGTCTGCCTTTATTTTTTTTAAATTGGTCTAGGTTATTAAAACTATTTGTACCTCAGTTTCTCCCCTCAGGGCTATGGTGAACAGCAAAATATGTTCTCTGTGTAGGATGCAACATCTGGCAGAGCTAGAGCTATCTGGCTATTTTAACTATATTTTAAATATGTGATGCTTAAGAGCATTGGTACTTAATAAGTAAAAACAATTTCTGCCATGTGACCGACTTATAGTTCTCAAAGCTGGATCTTATAAAATCTATATCAGTTGTCAAATATTTTGTTCTAAAACTATGCTATCATTATTTGTTTTATTTCCCATGGCTATTATTATACTATCTACAAATCACTGCTTCTTCAGTGACACTCGAAAAGAAGTAAATCAGTAATGATAATGATTACAGTAAAGTTCTGAGGTAGATTAAGCCACCCCAAGGCATGACATTTTGGCACATGGATTATTTCGAGGTAAAAGCTACTAAGAATTTACAGGCACAGGAAGTAGCCTTTTTGGAGATTCCATTATGTGACAAAACACACATATTTCCAAAGAATGGATTCTGTCATAAATCCCGTGTCTAGGAAGACTTTCAGAGCCATAAGGAATATGGATTGGCACTGAGTAGAGTCTTTACAAGTGACTCACCTTAAAGTAAGCCTTGTTTTCAGTTTGTGTCCCCATGCACTCCTCCCCACTGTGTGCCACCTCTAGAAGCTCAAATGACACATTCTTTGACTATATTACCTCTTCATAGCTTTATTGACCTCTCATTAAAACAGCATGTAAAACTCTGGATCTATTTGCCTCCTTGAGATTTTTATTTCATTTCTGTGAGGACATAAGCATACGGAGTGCTCCACTTCATTTCCCCTAACTTTTGTTAGCTCAGTGTGCAGGTCCCCAGGTACGGATGCCAAGAGTAGAGGAAATAAGACCTTTTGTTGGTAGGCTAGCTTCCATGTACTAAGCCTTCATGCTTGGACACAGTACGTATATTATTCTATATGCCCATCATATTAGAAAGATAAGATCTTTTATATAATATAAAACCAAAAGATCAGAGGTGGAACCATTAGCTCATGGCCACATGGCTTCTTAAAGAAGAGCCAAATGTGGTGGTTAATGTCTGCAAACCCAGCCTTCAGGTGGTTGAGGTCGAAGGATCATTATGAGCTCAGAATGAGCCGAGGCTACAAAGCCTGGAATACAATGTGAGACCCTGTTTCAAACAAATAAAAAAAATACAAACAAAATCAAATCTTAAACAAAAATTAATGCAATCGAACTCAACCAAACACAACACTAAACAAGAGAGCTGAACATTCATATCTGCCTGTAAAATAGCTCCCTTGAAAGTCATGGAAAGGATTTGATGCGAAAAACCAAGTTGATGACTTCCACGTATTTTATAGGATGGAAGGGTTAGAAACCAACAACTCCCAAGGAGACAGATAAAGAAACATTAATTGAGACCAGTGAGTCAAGATCTACCCATGGGTCTTACAATGGTAACTTATAATACATCTGTATTTTTCTCAACAACAGCCCTGGTGTTGGCGGCATGAGTAATAAGAGCCTAACTGTTAGAGTCTTAGTAAGCATTGCATTGCACAGTTCCCTCCTCTTGGAGAGGAAGTAAATATTTGCTTGAGGCCATTAAGGTGATAACAGACATAGATTTTAATCTCAGACAGCCACCTCCACAGCCTTTAGAACAGCTCAAACAGGTGAGGGGCTGTCTTCTCAAAGCACCTAGTGAAGAGCAAAAGGTAAATGGTCTCCTTGTCAGGACTATCATATACAGTAACCCACTGGTTCTCAAAGCCATACTCCCATTAGTTGCGCTTATCCTTTTTCTGTAGTTTGAAGAAACGGAGGCTTAGAGACTAGCCATTTCAAGGCATGCAGACCAGAAATCCAGGAGTAGTGTGTTTCCTGTCTGACTCCATAAGAGATCTGAGGTAGATTTGACTCAGAAAGTTAAATTTAGCAGGAGCTACCTTGCTGTTAGACACATCTTGGGTCATTCTTCCCTTGTCATTTCAATTTCTTGGGTTGAAGACCATATTTTCTTTATCTATATGTGAGGACAATCTATTCCCTCACTGGCTCCAGGAATGCTTTAAGATTCTAATCAATACCATAAAGGAAATGGGAAGCAACAGATTGCGATCAAAGAACAGAGTCTTCGCTCAACATGCTAAAGATATTGCAGAAAGGGCTCTCTGATATCATTCAGGCTCCAGGATCCAGAACACAGGAATTACAGCATTCCTTAGCTGGCCTCACGCTTTTGGGGTGAGGAGACCAAAGGCAGCTTAAAAATATCTATAGCATACAACTCACCGGTCTCCTGAGCAGGATGAATGACTTCAAAGAACTTAAACAGCCAGGAAGATTAGCGGTGAGGTCAGAGTAGCGGGATTTATGAGTTCTTAGTGAAAGATACAGGCAGTGGGGATAGGGAAAGACTTGATAACTCTGCTTTAAATCCTCTGGAAGAAAAAAAAAAGAATAATAATCCTCCCAAAAAGTCTGGGCACTGAAAGAAGATCATCTCTATCAGAGAAAAATGCCTGTGTGATAAGCTGAATAGAATCCGTGAGCTGAATGACAAAGCAGCGATTCAGTAAGAGATGGGAAAACTTTCCTGAGAGTAATTAATGTGTGGAGGGAATAGTACAGCAGGAAGGAGGTGATGAGTTCCCCTTCCTGTCCTGGTCATCTTTGGGCACAATATTACCTGGCTCACAGCCAGCTGGAGTCTTCTTAAGACGTGGCCAGGTTGAGGTCAAGGTTGGCAGGCACTTAGAGCTCGAGTGTCATGCCAGCTAACTGCCCATGTGCACAAAGCTTGTGAAATGAGGAAAGATGTCAAGTTTTAAAAAGTTAAGGGGGAAAATAAAAGGAGAGTTTTTTTTTTTTTTTTTTTTTACATATAAACTACATAGACAAATTTCAGGGCTCATGGCCGCTGTGAGGGACAAAACCACTCAGTGAAGTGAAGTTGATTTTCCCAGACCCAGGACTGTCCCAGTATGCTAGCCAGGGCACAGGCCTGCAGGCCCGTCATGTTTTTTCTTTTGTCTTTTCTCTGGAGGAGAGTTTAAGTTCCAACTCCTGCATCCTGTTAAACACAACTCACAAAGTGAAATAAAAGTGAGAGAATGATCTTTAGGATTTACAGAAGCATCTTTAGGATTTACAGTTCTGCCTTTCACAAGGCTTCAGAAAGGGATCATGGTGACTGTGGTTCAACACTCCAAACAACAGCTAAATCCAG